AATATCAATTTCTTCCCTCGTATCAAAACCTTTATCTGCTCAGCTGATTTTAGTTCTTAATTAGTTGGTAAACACGTGCAGGAGCTTAGTCATCAAGAAGATATTTTACTTTGGTTGTAACTAATTTTCCCGCCTATTTTTTGTTTCCCGCCTTTTCCTTTCTTTACTCTGTATTTATAGCCTCTCATCACCTCTGTATTGATTCGATTAGCTTGATAAAGCTTTATCTCAAATTTCATCTTCTCTGTAATATGGTATCAGAGCAATCTGCTTCTTAGCTTCGCGATTAATCCAATTTCTTACTGATTGATCATGGCGAATGCTCCTATCCAAATCTCGACATCTTCAATGAGTAATTCCACCACTGAAGATGGTTCCAATCCCTATTTTCTTCATCACTCAGATAACCCTGGCATTATACTCGTTTCACAGCAATTGACTGGTGAAAATTATACTTCATGGAGCCGTGCTATGTTCATTGCTTTATCAGTGAAAAATAAAGTTGGTTTCATAGACGGATCCATCACTCGACCTGAAGATAATGCTGAATTTCTTAATTCCTGGATCCGTAATAACAACATGGTTATTTCATGGATCCTCAATTCTGTATCGAAGGAGATCTCAGCCAGCATTATTTACTCTGAATCAGCTCATGAAATCTGGATAGATCTGAAGGAACGATTTCAGCAGAGGAACGGTCCTCGAATTTTTCAGCTGAGGCGTGAGTTAATGAACCATACCCAAGGGCAGATGTCAGTCAGCGTTTATTTTACTAAGCTGAAAACTGTCTGGGAAGAACTTACGAATTACAGACCTACCTGTTCGTGTGGAAAGTGTATCTGTGAAGGAAACAGAAAATTGATGGAGCATTATCAGATGGAGTATGTTATGTCTTTCTTAATGGGATTGAATGAGTCCTTTGCTCAAGTAAGGGGTCAGATATTGCTTATGGATCCCATTCCTCCAATTAACAAAGTTTTTTCACTAATTTCTCAAGAGGAAAATCAAAGAGGAATAAGTTCTACTGCTGTTGGAGCCACTGATTCCTTGGCTTTCTATGCCAAAAATGATGATAGAAAGCCTACCTTGGGGCAGTCTTATGTCAGAACTCAAAGGAGAGACAGACCTATTTGTACTTACTGTGGTTATGGAGGACATGGAGTGGATAAGTGCTATAAACTCCATGGTTATCCACCTGGATACAAAGCAAAGCAAAGAGCCAGTCCCAGCAATCAGTCAGGTTATAAGTCAAATGCTGTGACTAACCAAATTTCTGATTCTGTTTCAGGGCAATCAGCTGGAAATGTTGGGGATTTTGTACAAACTTTAAATTCTGATCAATACAAATATTTGATGAACATGTTGAATTCACATCTTGCTGCTGCAAAGGTAGGAGATGAGAACAATAGATCAGATCATGTATCAGGTACATGTCTGTCTATTTCGAATAATAAAATTTTCAATTCTGCTAAGCATTGGGTGATGGATTCTGGTGCAACTAGTCATGTTTGTTTCAATCGTGACTCTTTCAAAACCTTGAGGGTAGTGAAAAATGCCTATATCACATTGCCTAATCATGCCAGGATACCTGTACATTTTACTGGGAGTGTTGAGATTACTCCTGAGTTGATTCTTCATAATGTTCTACTTGTGCCACAATTCAAATTTAATCTCATATCCGTTAGTTCATTGACAAAGGATTCAGATATCAGTGTTAAATTTTTCACTGACTATTGTGCAATTCAGGGACTGGGCAGTTGGAAGATGATTGGCAGGGCTGATATGATTGATGGTCTTTACATAATTGAAGCAAAGTCTGATGTAATGAAGAATGTTTGTAATTCCTTTAAAGTTGTTAACAGTCATGTATGTTTTGTAATAAATAAGGTGACCTCTCATACTTGGCACCATAGATTGGGACACCTTTCATTTAAGAGGTTGGAGATTTTAAAGAATCAATTACATTTTAAGGTTGACAAGAGTTGTATTAATCCCTGCTACATTTGTCCGCTTGCTAAACAAAGGCGTTTATCCTTTGCTTCCAACAATCACTTATCTGCAAACAGCTTTGATCTCATCCATTGTGATGTTTGGGGTCCATATAGTTCCCCAACCCGTGAAGGTTATAAATATTTTCTTACACTTGTTGATGACTGCACAAGGTTCACGTGGATTTATTTGATGAAACAGAAGTCTGATGTACATGAAATTATTCCAAGGTTTTTCAGTCTTGTTGAAACACAGTTTAGTAAAACTATTAAGGCCTTCAGGTCTGATAATGCTCCTGAATTGCGATTTGCTGAATTCTTTAGCAAAAGGGGGGTTCTACATCAGTTTTCCTGTCCTGAACGTCCTGAGCAAAACTCAGTGGCTGAGAGGAAGCACCAGCATTTGCTGAATGTAGCTAGAGCTTTATTCTTCCAATCCCATGTTCCTATCTCATTCTGGGGAGATTGCGTATTGACTGCTGCCTATATCATCAATCGCACTCCTTCATCTATTCTTCATAACAGAGCACCATATTCTTTGTTATATCAGTCGCAGGTGGATTATAACTTTCTTAAGGTCTTTGGGTGCCTGTGTTTGCATCTACCATCACCGCTCATCGTTTAAAATTCCATCCTAGAGCAAAATCGTGCGTCTTCATTGGTTATCACCCTGGCATCAAGGGGTATCGATTGTATGATATTGTCACCAAAACTATCTTCATATCTAGAGATGTGATCTTTCATGAACACATCTTTCCTTTCCAATCTGTTTCAACAGGCCCTGATATCATTGATTCCTTTCCTAATCTTGTTTTACCGAATCCTGTTACTACTATGCATACTGATATATCTCATACTACTGATGAATCCTTTCCTTTTCCCATTAATGACATATCTGATCAGGCTGATATGCCTTCTAATATACCTTCTCCAAGTGTTGCCTCCACTGATGTACCACCTTCAAACCATGTTCTCCCTATTCCCTTACATAATCCTGTTGCTCCTGCTCTTCGGAGGTCTCTGAGAACTAGCAAGACTCCTTCATACTTGCAAGAATTTCATTGTAACCTCCTTTCCAATTCAAATTCTTCTGTCTTATCTTCTTCTCACCATTATCCTTTGGGCCGTTATCTTTCTTATTCCAAACTTTCTTCATCTCATAAGAATTTTATCTTCAACATTTCTTCAAACATCGAACCCCAATTTTATCATCAGGCTGTTAAAGAGGCTCATTGGAGGACTGCCATGTCTGATGAACTGAATGCTATGGAACTCAACAGAACCTGGTCCATTACCACTTTGCCTAAGGGAAAGCATACTATAGGTTGTAAGTGGGTTTACAAAACTAAGTATAAATCTGATGGTTCTATTGAAAGACACAAAGCGCGATTAGTTGCAAAAGGTTTCACTCAACAAGAGGGGCTAGATTTCTTGGAAACCTTCTCTCCAGTGGCTAAAATGGTGACACTTAAATTGTTGTTGGCCATTGCAGCAATCAACAATTGGCATATTATTCAACTGGATGTAAATAACGCATTTCTTCACGGGGATTTGTTTGAGGAGATTTACATGGACCTACCTCTGGGATATTCTCATTCGAAACTATCTGCCAGTAAGGGGGAGCACTTGGTTTGCAAATTGCATAAATCCATTTATGGTTTGAAACAGGCTTCACGCCAGTGGTTTTCAAAGTTTTCTCAGGCTCTTATCTTACATGGATTCAGTCAATCTAAATCTGATTATTCCCTTTTTACAAAGGGTTCCGGCAATGACTTTGTTGCTTTGCTGGTGTATGTCGATGACATAGTCATCACAGGTTCCAACTCTTGCATCATTAATGATTTGAAAGCATTTCTTCAAAGTCAGTTCAAGCTTAAAGACCTTGGAAAGTTAAAGTTCTTTCTTGGTTTGGAAATAGCTCGTTCACAAACTGGCATTGTACTTTCTCAGAGGCACTATGCCCTTCAGTTGCTGGAGGATACTGGGTTCCTTGGTTGCAAACTTGCTGTAGTTCCTATGGATTCCAAAGTTCGTCTGAACTCCTTTGAGGGGGAGCTATTAGATGATGGTTCTATGTATAGAAGGTTGATTGGGCGATTACTCTACTTGACAGTTTCTCGGCCAGACATTACATTTGCGGTTCACAAACTGAGTCAGTTCATTTCACAACCTCGTAAGCCTCATCTGAATGATGTCCATCATTTATTACAATATATTAAAGCTACTCCAGGCCAGGGTCTTCTATTTTCTGCCAATTCATCTCTGCAATTGCGGGCATATGCTGATGCTGATTGGGCTTCATGCTTAGATTCAAGAAAATCAGTTACAGGGTTCTGTGTTTTCCTTGGAGATTCAATGGTATCATGGAAAGCAAAGAAGCAGAACACCATATCCAGGTCATCTGCAGAGGCTGAGTATCGTGCTTTAGCCTCAACAGCCAGTGAATTATTATGGATTCAACAATTACTTTGTGATTTTCATATGGATGTCAAGAAACCTGCTTTAATCTTCTGTGACAATCAGGCAGCCGTTCACATTGCTACCAATCCCATCTTTCACGAGCGCACCAAACATATAGAAATAGACTGCCATTTTATAAGAGACAAGATCAATGATGGAGTTGTTAAGTTGCTACCAGTTCGGACAAACCATCAACTTGCAGACATTTTCACCAAGCCATTGCCTGCATCTGTATTGATCTATTTGCTATCCAAGATGGCTATTATCAACATCCATAGTCCATCTTGAGGGGGAGTATCAAAACCTTTATCTGCTCAGCTGATTTTAGTTCTTAATTAGTTGGTAAACACGTGCAGGAGCTTAGTCATCAAGAAGATATTTTACTTTGGTTGTAACTAATTTTCCCGCCTATTTTTTGTTTCCCGCCTTTTCCTTTCTTTACTCTGTATTTATAGCCTCTCATCACCTCTGTATTGATTCGATTAGCTTGATAAAGCTTTATCTCAAATTTCATCTTCTCTGTAATACCTCGCCTAAAAGAAAGTTCGAGACATGGATATGAAAATGAAGAAGCCTGTTTCCAGAAAGAAGAAGAATAATGATGAGAGCATGAACACAAGGAGCAGTAGATTCTTGATCACTATAAACGTATTTGGGAGTGCAGGGCCATTAAGATTTGTTGTGAATGAAGATGATAATGCTGCAGGAGTGGTCGAGACTGCTTTAAAATTATATGCTCGAGAGGGACGCCTTCCAATTCTTGGTTCTGACGTCAACAGTTTCTTTCTTTATCCTTCCAACGCTGGATTGGATGGTACTATATACACAGCTCTTTTATCTAAATTTATTTTTCTACCCACAACAATTTATAACCTTTCAAAGGCTTGGTTTCAGCTCTTTCTCCATCGGAGTCAATAGGATCACACGGAGGAGTAAGGAACTTCATCTTGTGCAAGAAGCAGAGCCATCCACACATGACTGAAGCAAGGTCACAGGTTATTGCTCGAAAGAGAGGAGGATGGCGTGCGCGGCTCCAGAAATCCTTTAATCTTAAAATTTTATCTCATTGAAATGGCTTCATCGTTTCAATTCTATATGCTCTCTTGTGCTCCTATAGCTAATACCTTGTTTAATAAAGTGTATTGTAAATCCATGGGAGGGTAATAATGAAGTAAAATAAGTTAAAATATCGTTGAATCCCATCTAGGTAACAGTGTTTTGTAATATGGAGAAGTTTCATGCATTTATTCAATGAAATTTGGGGCAAGTGCCTCCCACGAACAACTTTGCATTTTGCTTTGTTCCCACGTACACACGTTTATGCTGCGTCTAAACGTATTATGTCAAATGCATTAAACTCATGTTTGACGATCATTATTTAAAAACTCTTTTTTCTACTTATTCATTTTTAATCACACAATAAAATATTTTGCACGAAAATCCAAAATTTATTCTTACTTTTTAATCACACATCCTCCTAAAAATCACTATTCAAAACTTTGTTTTTAGAGTAATGTTATTCATCCTCAGTGGGGTTACAAACACAGTCTAAGTGGCTCTAAATGATAGATTTAGAGCCACCTAAACTGTATTTGTAATCTTAGTAGGGATGAATAGCATTACTCTTGTTTTTAAGAATAATGGCTATCAAATGGGGCTAAATTTGTCCAAATTTTGCCTAACGTGGCATGAGTTCCATTATTATTATTATCTTCCATTTGGGGGTGACAACTTCAATTTAGATGACGTTAAATGATATGATAAATAAAAGGTGAAGGGCTTTTTAAGTCCTCAAAGTGACAAATTTCGTAAGAAATCCATCATATCTAATGTTTATGTACAAAATAATTGTTAAATTCTTGCATGGATAGGGCCAATGAGTACGATAGTTTCATTTTACATAGAATAATAAATAATTTCAAAACTATTGTACCTCTTAGCCACTGTTTGATAGAAATTAAAATCCAAATTTTAATTTAAGTCAAAGTCAACAATTAATTTTAACCATAAAATTTACAGGACCCACAAATTTTCAACCTACAATTCCACAATTTATATCAAAATTTACTAAAAATCTGATTTTAATTTCTACCAAACATGGTTTCAATCACGTAAAGATGGACGATTCTTTTAAACCAAAAAATGATAGGAATTAAATTATAAATTTAAAATAAATTGTCAACTTGGGAACTAATGCTAACAAGAATGACGATCGACACGTGGAACCAAATTTCAATAAATAAAAAACATTATTGGATAATAGTCTTCTTATTGCGTAAAAAAAATATGTTTCCCATTTTCTTTTGTTTAGATTTAGTTCAAAAAATAAGCATGGCGGCTCATGTTTAAAGATTGTGGTGATATTATTTGTTAAACATAATAATTTCCACAATAATGGCCTACTTTTATTGGGTGGCCCGATCAACACTACAAACATAATTGACCTCGCTGAATTTAATTTAATTTCTATAATTATAACATTTGTCTGATTTTGATTTACTAGTTATTCATTAATAGAATCGAAAATTAGGAAAATAACACCAAACACATCTCTTCTCAATAAGTACTACAGTGATGTGGGAAGTAGGAACTAATTCTAGACAATTGAAAACTTGACAGAGACACAAGAAATCGGAAAGGAAGTAAAAAAAAAAAAACATTCGAAAATGCACATGAAATCTATTTATATATGTATAGAACTTTTTTTAAAACCCTTGATTTTTGTAGAGTTCGTGAAATTCTATTGACTTTAATAGATTTTATAAACATATGAAAAGACTTTCGCAAATTTTTATAAACTTGGTTTTAAATAGGGCTGGACATGGATCGGTTCGACTCAAAATTTTCGAGTATTTAATAAATGGAACCGTCAGGTCCAAATATAATTATGGAACCGTTTGAGTTCGGTTCCGTACCATAATTAAATTTTTTAACATTTCCAACAACACTAAATAAATACAACTAATGACTTGTCATAGTAAGAAACTCTACAAGCATAATTGAAAAAACATAATTAATAAATACAAATAAACTAAAAATTGTTCAACTTGATTTAGTTCAAAAAATAAGCATGGTGGCTCATGTTTAAAGATTGTGGTGATATTATTTGTTAAACATAATAATTTCCACAATAATGGCCTACTTTTATTGGGTGGCCCGATCAACACTACAAACATAATTGACCTGATTTCTATAATTATAACATTTGTCTGATTTTGATTTACTAGTTATTCATTAATAGAATCGAAACTTAGGAAAATAACACCAAACACATCTCTTCTCAATACGTACTACAGTGATGTGGGAAGTAGGAACTAATTCTAGACAATTGAAAACTTAACAGAGACACAAGAAATCGGAAAGGAAGTAAAAAAAAAAAAAAATCGAAAATGCAAATGAAATCTATTTATATATGTATAGAACTTTTTTTAAAACCCTTGATTTTTGTAGAGTTCGTGAAATTCTATTGACTTTAATAGATTTTGCAAACATATGAAAAGACTTTCACAAATTTTTAGTTTTAAATAGGGCTGGACATAGGTCGGTTCGACTCAAAATTTTCGGGTATTTAATAAATGGAACCGTCAGGTCCAAATATAATTATGGAACCGTTTGACTTCGGTTCCGTACCATAATTAAATTTTTTAACATTTACAACAACACTAAATAAATACAACTAATGACTTGTCATAGTAAGAAACTCTACAAGCATAATTGAAAAAACATAATTAATAAATACAAATAAACTAAAAATTGTTCAACTAATAAGATTTAATAATAAGATTTACTAATTTATTTTTAAAAAATTAAAATAATTTAATTAATACAATATAAAAAATTATTTAAATTCGATTCTTCTGTTTTTGGTCCGGAATCGAGAACCGATCCAAATTCATTAGTTCTCGATTCATATACTTGTTTGGATATTTAATTTATGAAGAACTGCTCGATTCGGTTCGATTCGATTCGATTGAGAGTTTTGTCCACCCCTAATTTTAAAGATCTTTCATTTTAAAAATGAAGAAAAAAAGATTTTACATAATCATCAAAATATCAGACTCAAAAGTGAAAAATTGAGACATCGATATATTCAAAATAACTCAACATGAACCCATGCTCATCATGATAAAAGAAAAAAAATTAACTTTTTCATAATTGATCCACACAACAAAAAGAAAAGGAGAATTCTAACATGAAAATTTATATAATACAATAAAAGTGTGTTTGATTGTCCTGAAAAATATATCCTAGAAAAGAAAATATTTTTTTTGTTTGGGGAAAAACAAAAACCTATTCCCCCCAAAGAAAATGTGTTCCTTAAAAAAAAAGGAAAATTATACATATTTTTAAAAATTGAAAAATATTTTTCATGAAAAAAAATAACAATCAAACGTTTCAAAGTAGGAATTTGGATAGAAAACTGCCATTTTCAATGACTTAGATCTGTTGAAATTAATCTTCTTTCAATCAACCCTATATAAGAATTTAATTACAGATTAATCAACTTTTCATAGTAGATGAGGAAATGATGAAACTTATCTTAAGTACGTTATAGAAGAATTTTAATTATAAATTGATCATTTTTTTTTTCTCTCCTACATTCTTATTCTATATTTCCGTCTGCTAAAATCTTATTATACTGGAAGGCATATATACACATTGTAAGAACTAATGGATCATCCAATCTGAAGATGTAATGTTTCTTTTATATTGTTTTGTCGTTCCTATTATTTCTTATCTTGTTTCCTTTGATTGTAGAATAGTTATGAATTTTATGATACTGAAAATTAAGCATAAATATTTTAAATTAAAAAAATATATATATCAGTTAATAAATCAACCCCCATCTTCTAAGAATGCAAAGTATCATTTTCTTGCATTAATTACTGGTCCAAATATATTTTTCCATCTCATGTGATTTTCAATGGGGGACATTTATAAATTATAATCGTAATGATTAATGTTTTGAATACAAAGTCAAGGATATTGTTGACGAGAGAGAGGGAGGGGGGGTGGGGGGTGGAAGATGTGCCAACTGAATGATTCTCCAATCATAGTCAAACTTTGCGGCTTACGTAACATTTTTCCTGGATTTTCAAGAAAGTAAAATGTTGGCCAAAGAGACGAGTAGATTGGACTAAAGGACAAGGAAAGAAACTCCCAATCTTTTGAGTTTTGATGTATATGATCTGCTGATTTTGATCCTTCCTCGTGACAAAAAATCATGTTAGTGACGGCTATCCGTGCATGGTTTTTTTCTTGAATTATTCCCTAATATTTTCTAATTATATACCATCCATCCTACCTGTGTTCAGTGGATTGAACTGTAGTTGCGAAACGCACTGTTGTAAATAATTCAGTCTCAATCTACTGAACATTGTTCGACTATAAACAAAAAGCTAGCTTTCTGGTTCCCACATAAGCAACCCAGTTTCAATAAAATACCTGAATTTTGTATTCAATATTTTTTTCTTAATTATGGGATTGCTGACTACATATGATAGTACAGTTTTTAAGAAAATTTTATTCAAATGCATTTCAACTCCAAGCTCATTACACATATGTTAACATCTGCTCCAGTACTGTCACCTTCAAGTAGTTGTATATTCTCGTGGAATGTCATCAATGAGTGTTACCTGTTAAATCGGTTGACATAGTGGAAAATTTTACATTAGAGTTTTATATAAATAATCGCATACAGTGAAGGTGTCTAGGGAAATTATTGGAATATCTAGCATAACCATAAGGTTTTTTTTTCCCACATCAGGCCCATGTTTCATAATGTTTCCGTTAACCAATTGAAGTGTTCTATAGGCTTAGGGCATCTTTGATATATTGCATAAATACGGCATATAGATGTGAGACAATGGTTAATTCATCACCCTTCCCTTAAAATACTGTGCAGTTGCAGTTGGTGGTAAAGAAAGTTATCAAGATTATAACTTTTCAGATCTTTACACATGCTACGATAGAAAACATATTAACGATTTTGGAATAGATATGAATACTGTGTATAAGTCGTGTTTGATAATTATTGAATAATAATTGTAATTTCAACGAGAAAAACATA